CCCCAAAACCCCAAAACCCCAAAACCCCAAAACCCCAAAACCCCTTTTCTTATTTTCATTATTGAAGTGAAGCACTTTAAAGCGTAAATTATTTAGCTCCTTCGGCAATATCTTCGTTAATTACTTTTTCAAACTGGCTAACCAATTTTTGCCCAGACAGTTTCATGGTTCTATTAGCGGTGAAATTGACTCTCAACTTGTCTCCATAGGTGATAGGAGTGATGAAGATACCGATGTGTTCACTACCGTGAGCCCAGAAGCCCTGCTTCAATACTTTCTTACCACAAAAGATCCACTGCTCTTCAGAGAATGGTACATTTGAAATAGCACATCCGATTCCTCCAAGCATATCTTCAGCGAGATGTCTGACAGCAGCTTTTGGGAAGAACTTGAAAATGGAGAAGAACAACTCAATAAGCTGAGCTCCGTGTTCAGAGTAAATACTTCTGAATGCCTTCTTTGACTCTGTGATAGCCTTTTCAAAGTTTCCAAGCAATGGGTAGTGACATTCAAAAACTGCAATTCTTGTTCCAAGAATCAATGAATCATATCCTTGAGGGAAATCTCTATTGTTTACAGAGACGACTGCCTTAATATTATTAGCGTTATCGATGCCTTGCTCCCTGTACCAGTCATGGAATGCTTTAGATACAACTCCCATGAAATAGTCACCGAAGGTGACGCCCTTAAATCTTTTGTATCATTTCTTGACTGCTGAGAAATCGAGCTCAACTGTAGAATAACAGTTCTTTTGCAAAGTGTTTGGATCCGTCTGCTCCTGTACCTTCTCTGCCCCATCGTCTGATTTGATCATCTTGTATTTGAACGACATGTAGCTGGTGTATGGGAGAGCGAACACACAGTAAAATACTTTCCAAGCGAAGGAAATTGGTGTAAACTTCTTCTTCATTTTTAGTTTAAATTGGTTATCTAGCAAACATGACATCAGTGAAGCATATCCAACTGCGTCGATCAAACCGTGCTGCATCACAAAGAAAACTAGTGAGGTATTTTTGGTGTAGTTTTCTTGAACATGACATTCCCAATTAGGCTTGCTTCTGTCAATCTTGTATTGAGCTAAATGAGAGCAATAATCAATAACTTCTTTATCTGTCTTGACTTCTTTGTTGACCCTCTTGATCTGAAGCTTGGCCTCTTCCTCAGTAGCGATCTTGAACAGTGCCAACCCCAGAATGTCACTCCTGACATAGCGCAGGTTCTTGATCTTACTGATGCCTTGCTCATAGATCCGCTTCTTGACGGAGTCCAGGTCAAGGCTCTCTGCTTCAAAGTAAGCCACAAGGTTGTTGGTGCCGTCTTTCTTTTCAAACTCCATTCCGATGTCGACGAAGGGCACTGGCTGGTACCCGAGCGCTATGAGCAAGTTCTCAGCAACATGGTAGAGCAGGAACAGGAAGCCGGAGCCGTAGAGGAATCCGAGGTACCAGTAGGAGAGGGTCACAATCGTTATCTGAAGAATTCCAATATCAAAGAGCATTTTTAATTTATTAATTTACGCAATTTTTTACTTTTGATTAGGGGTTTTGGGGTTTTGGGGTTTTGGGGTTTTGGGGTTTTGGGGTT